CACGCATACGCGAGCTACAGAAACTGTCCCTTTCACCTTTGAAACCAAAGCTATGCCACTGTGACTGGACATTGATTTATCGTGTAGGGTATTTATGGCCAACTATAACACGTATAACACGTCTGTAATGATGGGTAACAAGAGCTTGTTACAATGCAGTTTTTTTTTCTTCTTCCTTTTTTCGAATGCTTGATCATAAATTCTCATCATCAGATATGGAAAATTTACCGGTACAAACTATGTAAAAATAAAGTAACATTTACCGGTACAAACTATGTAAAAATCAAGTAAAATTTACCGGTACAAACTATGTAAAAATCAAGTAAAATTTACCGGTACAAACTATGTAAAAATAAAGTAACATTTACCGGTACAAACTATGTAAAAATCAAGTAAAATTTACCGGTACAAACTATGTAAAAATCAAGTAAAATTTACCGGTACAATCTATGTAAAAATAAAGTAAAACAATCAGCGGTCAAGACAAAGTTTAAGGTTCTTGTTACTTGAATATGTTCGCCGAATATTCTGAATTCAGAACAAAAAAGCACAAATGATCAATAGAATGAAGTCGGTATTTTCCAACTCTCGATTCCAGTCTTAAGATAAAATGTTTCTTAACACAACTGATGCTAAAAAACACAGTGTTATCAACGTGTGTGTGTGTGCTATTTCCAGTTGAACCTAATTCAAAAAGGAGGCCCGAGGGTATCAGACTTTGGATCTGGGGCTCCATGGCTCACATCCGGCACTTTGGAGTTTTGTATGCGGATGATAATGAAATACCACTAGTTAAGTAGAGTACACCAAGAGCTGGCGGTGATTGGTGTTTACTAACTGCTTCCCCTCTAGTCTAACACTTCAAAATTAGGGACTCTTAGCTCAGACAGTTCTCCAGTAACTTGAAATTGAAGCACAACCAAACAAATAAACGCTAATTCGGAACCGTTTGGTTTGAGTGTAATTAGCCAATACTTCGATCAATTGTGCCCAAAACTACAGTAACAAAAAAAAAAAACGTTCAACTAACAGTGAATTTACGAAATCACGTAAAATATTTTCAATATAATGGAACTGTTTGTATGTTTGTTTGGAATTTCGAGCAAAGCTACACGAGGGGTATCTGTTCCTAATTTAACACCTGGAACTGTCAGATATCACTCACACGTGAATGAAACTAAACAGTATAAACGTTTCTTTGAAATATTTGACGAATAAATATTTATAATCTCTAAATGGAAATTCCTCTATTTGAAATTAATTTTTACAGTTCTTCCTTGCTCCCTAGGGGGAACGATCCCTCTCCCTGCTCCCCTTCCTGTGTTTTAATGTGTTATTTGGTCTTTTTTTTGTATAATCAGATCTGACGAAGAGTGAACCAAATGATAATGATTACCCTAATGTACAAAATATAGTGATTTACCGTTACTTGGACTAGAGATTTAAATGTTGCAATGAATACAGTTTAGCTATAAACTTACTTTTTCTAACAAATTGTTACAGGTTATGTTCGTTTATATCAAGTCGTTTGTATTGTTTTTATCGTCAGAGGACGTGTGGATATCACGTGATAAGCGCGAGGCTTAAAGGCTGGAATTTTCTTCAAAGTATAGAAAATGATTTGAAAGTGTAAAAAAAGGGGTTACCCGTGTTCTGCCCACCACGGGTATCAAACCCATATTTTTAGAGTTGTAAGCTTTCGGACTTACCACTGACCCACTGTTATTCGCCTGTACTGTTACTTCAGATTCGTGAATACTGGGTTTGTATTTCTTCGTAGGTACGAAAAATTGGGTATCAAACCCGTATTTTTAGAGTTATAAGCCTTCGAACTTACCACTGACCCACTGTTATTCGCCTGTACTGTTACTTCAGATTCGTGAATACTGGGTTTGTGTTTCTTCATAGGTACGAAAAATGAGCAAGTAGGTGATTATTTAGCGTTATTTATAAGATCAGGCCAATTTTTGCATTAAGTTTTACCGAATAATCCAGAAGGGTTGAAAATCGTTACTATAAAATCTTGCACTGGTGTACACAGTAATAGAACAGGCATCCCGTGAATAATGCCTACTAACGAGACGAGTATCAGAATTCTTGATGTGCTGTAACGTACGCTGAAAGGAAAATATGACTGTCAGACAAAGGAATAAACTTGCAGCTAAAACTCTAGCGTTTACAAGAAATTAAAGTGAGCTAAGTTAAATGGTACTATGTGGCCAAAATGAGATTTTTCTACCCGATTGGAGGCTCGGCATGGCCAGGTAATTTAGGGCGCTCGACTCGCAATCTGAGGGTCGAGGGTTCGAATACCTGTCCCACCAAACCTGCTCGCCCTTTCAGCCGTGGAGACGTTATATTCGTTGGTAAAAGAGTAGCTCAAGAGTTGGCGGTGATGACTAGCTGCCTTCCCTCTAGTCTCACACTGCTAAATTAGGGACGGCTAGGGCAGATAGTCCTGGTGTAGCTTTGCGCGAAATTCAAAAGAAACAAACCCTTGAAGGTCTGTATATCATAAATACTCGATAACCACGTGCGAGTGTTGTTGTTTCAAGTAGTGTGATGGCCAGGTGGTTAAAGCGCTCGGTTAAGGCAATCTGAACGTCGCGGGTTCGAATCCCCGTCCCACCAAACATGCTCACCCTTTCAGCCA